CAGTATAAGTGTATATATAAATTAGAAATGTTCCAGAGCTTCCAGTGTAATTAACCTGATCTAAAAGTCTAGCATTCAGGCCAGAGATTCTTTGTCTCGAAATCAGACCATCCAGCTTCTGTCTCTTTGTCAAACAATAAAGGGATAAGTCACTAAAAATAAACTTCGAAACTTGTTTTTCTACGCCGTTCTCATTCGCATTCTGTCTCGTCGTCGTCTCGTCGCAATTCTCTTATCTCATTCGCATACATTCGCTTACATTACGCATACATTATTTATACGGTTTCACTTCCGCAACTCGTAAAACTAAAATCGCACCTCCACTGTCACACAACCTCGTTTCAACTTTTCCTTACCCAGTGCTCTTTCCTTATAGGATGTCTCTTTACCAAACGTCCTTTACATTTACAATCTTTCATTGAAATTGTTACATGAAAGTTTATACTCTTTTATTGAGACATGATTGTTCATAATTTGTTACGTAGAGACTTCGGATTTGTATGCTATTATAAAAATTTCAATGTAAAAGAATACACCTGTTATACATAACTTGTAGAAATACGTAAAATAATTGATTCAGTCTGTTGAACTCCAAGTTTGGAATTGAATGCAGCAATTCTCAAGTTGAAAAGTCAAGATTTTATTAGATTGTGTGGCAAAATGTGTAAGTGGCAACCACGTATTCCGAAAATCTACTTGTTTGTACAGTTTTGATTGTCCTTATAATTAATTGGTATGAGTAACCGAGATCTGATGGTCAAAGCAGTTCGTGAATTAACTACGTCAATAGCAATAAGTTGCATCCAACCAATTCAACATTAAATTGCAAAAATGAAAATTTATACAAATGGATTTCATTTCTTAAAATATATCTAAAAGATATATGGTTTTCTGATATTAATGTAATTAAATATGGTATTTTTAGATTGTTAACAACTACATATACAATTAGGTCAAAGTGGGCTAAGTTAGGAACGGCGCGCAATAAGTCCATGTTTACATGGCTGCATGGGTTGAATCGATTCTTCGAACGCGTTACGTTACGAGCAATCATCGTGGCACACGCATGCGAGCACCTACGTCCACCTAGGTTACATTAAACGTATAGCATCGCACTCGGCCGGTACACACGCTTTTATTGCATACACGCGGAATTAAGCATTATTACGCCGTGCCAGGTCACCGCGACCACTCGTGTCTCGGCGATTTACCTAAAAAGCTCGCTGCGTTACCAGCTGACAACTTTCAATCCGTTTACCGTGCCGCGACAGTGGAGAAAGCATGCATGGGGACGCGTACAAGGTACAAGTTTGGAGACATTTATTGTCTATCAGAATATCTGACAATTATCCTAAATTACTAATCCTCACAGACTTTAAATAATAAAAATCTTCAATTGAAGGATTTTAGTAAGTAATATCTGTAACTTGATGCAAAAAGCGGCAGTATCATGTTCTTGCAAAAAGTAAACCAGATGTTGAGTTCGTAGGGCAATTTCGAATTCTATGTAAAGATTACTATAATTTGTATTGTTAATATTTTTCATGAAATAAGTTGGTCAAAATATTGGGTCATTAGTGAAGAAAGGACAATTAGCACAAGCTTTAATATATACTTTGTACGCATTAGAGAAAATATTTAAAACGGACGTTTCTGTGTTAGAATACTGTCGCTTTTTGATTGCGCGGCACTGAAGAATTGCGAGGAATGTAAAGAAGTTGTTGGACGAGTTAGAACAGGCTAGCTTTCTCCATACTGGAAAAACTCGCGTTTCGTCACCGAGAGATTAATTAACGCTAAGAAACCAATACCCAGTATTCAATGACACTCTTATCAACTCATTCTTATAGGATACAAAAATATCACCGTGTTTCTCATTACTAAACTGCGAATTTTGATGCAACATTAAACATTTATGTTATAACTGTAAGAAATGTTTTTGTGTAACAATACTCAAACAAGTATTTCGCTAATTGAAAACGAATCCCATTCTCCTCATAGGTTGCACAATTGTATTATATGGATTTTACGTCTACACATATATGTGGAATGTGTAAATGGCAAAATGTAAAACGCAATGTTTCTAGTGTTGCAAAACAGTTACATCCAGTTGTATTCAGTTATATCTACATCTAGTTATGTATGTACCTAATTATGTTCAGTTTTATCCAGTTACATAAAACAATCGAGCAAAGTTTTTTTAAGTATAAATATGTACATAACACATTGCATAGTCGACGTGTCTATTAAGGCGAGCACCGGATGCACTTCGACATGACAAGGGATATAATCTAAGCGTTACGAGAGCAGCACGAGTGCCATTTGTCGCTGGGACTTCTCTCCGATCTGCTCCAATTAACTTTATTAATCCTTCCGCTTTTGCGGCCTGGCCTGCCTTACGTCAATTTCATTACCCTGTTTATCTGTTACGCAAACTACAAAATTTCTTGCCCCCTTGATCATCGTACACACTGGGGTGAATTGCCGGGTGCAAAGATCTTCCTAAAAAATTTCGGGTTCCTCATTCGGGTTAATTGTGTTCTGACTTGCAATTAGCAAAAGATCCTTGGGCGAATATGGAACGTGACAATTTTTCATACTGGAATTCCTCGCAAAGAAATATAGACAAGTGAGTGGTTGAAATGTATAATAACACATAAATGAAACAGTAAATCTTGTAACAAACCATACCATTATTTGTATAATATATCTCAATATGTCTTAAAACTCATAAAGTGAAGTGTACAATTTTATTGAAAACATTCATGATGCACTGTACGATTCATTATATGATTTATTATGCACTATGCTATTTGTTTCGTGATCTACTACATACATTTTTTATATGAATTATTATATGATTTCTTATACAATTTATTGCACGATTATTGAGATACATATTTTATTATATGATTCATGTGATGACTTATTTTTCTCTAAAATTAGCACTGATAATTCGAGCCGGTCTAATTGAAAGTTCTCCTGGTAGCAAGCTTAGGACGTACAAGCTGCGCCCGCTGACTCAAGGTCAAATTCTTCGAAGGTCGCGCAAGCGTCGCGAAGGTGCGTACCACGAAGAGAAAGAGAAAGATGGGTCGCGTTCGGAATGGACGATAATTGTGCGCTTGCATTCGCCTCGTTCTATATGGTCGAGCTGGAAATGATTTAATGAATATAGCATCCTGCCTTCCTATCGCGATTCAGAAACCCTTCCCCCTATTCCTGGCTCTCCAGCCAAGAAAAGAAACGCGGTCCACCGACTAATAAACTACAAAAAAATGGTTTTTATCGATGCAGTAATATATTTATTTAAATCAGGAGAATATTACAAGTAATCACAGTAATATACATACATATAACATTTCTATAGAGAGGTAGTCTATGCTACCAGTAGAACTGGTACACTTAAACTAGAAATAAGTTTAATGGCATCTTAGTATTACATGTGAGAAGAAGCATTCCTTTATTAGTAGTAGTAGTAATTTATTTCTTGTTTTTCGATCTTGAAAGGGGTGAGTGGTATATTTGGTGATGGTGCGTGTATTCGTTTACAGTTATTTTATTACATAAATACTTTTGAACGGTACTAAAAAATGATATCCCGCGTGAAAAAGAAGTTATTTCGAAATGAGAGTGTGGACCTGGGCTAATGGCTGGGCCATTGAGGACCAGTCGATAAATACAGGCCAACTGCGTAAATCCACTTTGTTCAGCATGACGCGTCGCGCTGATTTACGAGTGGGACCGCTGACTTACGATTCTTATTTAAAGTCGAGTCGCTGTGCACGCGCTTCCCTTCGTGTAATAAAATCCCTTCGGGGACCGTTCTCAGTTCGCTGAACGTAATAGTCGCGATTTTTACGAACAAGCGTTATTATGTGCATATATGTTGAATTACCGTCGAACGAGTCGGTTGATTCACGAGATTAGGTTCTTAGGTTAGTGCCCTGTCCCGTAAGGGTAAAACTGCTCCTTTTAAGACTCTCAACTCCATCGAATGCAAATAAAATTTTTCGAGAATGCTATTCATTACTAAATTCATTTATGAATTTTAAGCTAATTTATATTGATCTTATATTGTAAGAATGTCCTTTTATTTACTGAAATGAAGAATAGTTTAGTATACTTGAGATTGTTATGCATAAGTTAATATATGCATACGTTCGTTAAATTATTATCGACGAACGAGCTGGTTGATTCAGAAGATTACTTTCTTAGAGTAGACCCTTGATACCTCAGGAAACCGTGTCCCGTGCACGTTAACTCGCGACATAAACAACCGTGTTTACGAGCTTGCACCATGGGGTATATACAACGTGTTGGTAGCAAGTAGCAAGTGGGCCGGTGCTTTTATACGCTTCATAATAATCATTCGGTTGCAATATTGCAAATAAACGTGATAATATTCCAGATAAATATTACAAACTATGTGATAAATCGAACTGAATTTTATTAACAATGATCTACAAGAAAATGTAATCCGAAACACAGATAGAATAAACTTTGAACATCGAATTCTTTCTACCGAGTCAAGAATAGTTTTTTTTTATTAAAATTCAAATCACAGTTCTGACTCCCATTTGTATTCGCAGTTTAGGATTTTTCAGGAGACTCAGATATAATGCTTGAGTCATGAGAGAAATTGTTATTTAAATCAGATTTTTTTCTTTAAATTGATACTATAAATTTTTTATTTTGAATAAAAGTCCGCAGACTAGTTGTGACGAGGTCTCATCTGCATTTGGCGAGCTATTCACGAGGATCGTTACGCCTGTCGGAAATAGGAGTTCTTTCGAGAGACGAGAAGTGCTTTCCTATGAATAGAGAACATTCGAAGATCCGTTGAAGCTATCTCGTGAATGTCTCGTTAAAAAGGTATAAATTCTAGAATAGCCGGAATATGATGCATCAATTACTATCG